CCTTGATTCAGAGCCCACTGAAGCCAAAGGAAAAGCTTCTAATCAGTGTTAAGTGGAGATTGAATCAGGCCCTCATTAAGGCATGCCCCCACCTTCCGAAAAGCAACAAATTAGAAATGTGTGGTGAAAATGGATGCCAAGAACAGTGTTCTTTTTGATAAGCCATAGCTCAAAAGTTTCTGTTAAGCAATATGCTGTTGTTCAAGACAACTTTGAGATACATGCGGAATCTCTGCAGTTGAACTACTATCTAGAAATAAAACTCCAGTGTAATTAAGCCTTTCTTTTAAGAGTGAGGAAAACACGTGGCATTAAATCAGCCTAGCTGTCATCTTTCCTTAAAAGCCTTTTAGAAACCAATGAATGTCTTAAAAACTGTTTAGGTCATCCATATCATTCATCAGGTTCTTTGGATTGCCCATTTTGGGTCTACATGTTCTGCCACTTTTAAAAGTCTTCCAGAGTTCCCTCTGGTAACATGATGCACACAGTGATGGTGGCCTTCCTTTGTGGCTTGCATCAATTGGTTCTAAAATGTCCGTGATCTTGTTGGGTAACTAAAAATCTTTAACATTCTTTCATTGTGAATAAGACAAACAGCAATTTTAAGAAACCATAGTTCAGCTAATAGTTAATAACAGACAGCAGGTGGCAATAACACAATGTATTTTAGAGTCTTTGGTGGTGGGAATGGGACAGGGCAGGGTGGTCAATTGCTCTCATTTAATCCCACCTGAATTCTCTACCTGTCTGCCAGATTGGCACATTAATGGAACCTCTGCAGGGTAAGCTATCAGCACAGTCCAAGGTGAAACTTGCTTGCGTAGCTTCCTATATAATGCTGTGCCACCTAAACTGTTATTTTTTATTTATTTATTTAAAACATTTCTATGCTGCCCCGATCACAACAAAGCCTCAGGGCGGCTCACAAAGAATACATTAAAAACATACATAAATAATAATAATATAACAATTTTAAAAATCCTAATTAATTCAATAATTTAACAATTAAAATAAGTTTTAAATAAAAAGGTCTTAGCCTGGCGCCGAAAAACAAATAACGACGGCGCCAGGCAGACCTCTCTGGGGAGCGCATTCCATAGATGGGGCGCCACCGCAGAGAAAGCCCTCCTCCAGGTACTCACCCTCCTAATAACATTCACAGAGGGTTCCCGGAGAAGGGCATCCGTTGCTGATCTCAAGGGGCGGGAGGGCATATATGGGCACAATAGCCATTGTGTTACTCACAGTAGTCATTCTATCATATGGAGAGATAAGGAGCAGCATCACTCCAGTCACTGGGCTGTGAGAATAGCTGCCCTTGGTTCCTCTCTGAACAATCCCTATCTCAGCTTCTTGTTGCATGGATTGTAACTGGTACCTGAGTCTGCTTGTTTTCTTCCTGTCTTGTCTTTTAGATTGAGCACAGTGGGAGTCTTTATTTTTGGACTGATCTGTAAGCTCTTCTGCAAGGCTTTTCCATTGAAAAGCTAGCTGAAATGCATTTTAAAAACAACTATAAACTACTGGTTCGGCATTAAAGCTGGAATTAAGAAAAGCCTTCATTTAATATTGTGGTGGCTTGATACCCTTTCAGAAAACAGTTCTCAAATATTTTTCTCAGAGCTGGACTTACTTATCTACAGTAATCACAATGTCATGCAAGGAGACTTTACAAAAATGTTGAAAGGAAAAATAAAATCCAAATGGTCCAAGTTCATTAGAAATGATTTTTGGGTTGCAAATCACAATTCTAGAAAATTGCATATTTTCTGTCTTCAAAAAGAAATGCAATGCTTACATTATTTTTTTAAATACCAAGTTGCCTTCCATGGAACTATTACCAAACAGACATGGTAAGAACCAATCAGAGGTATCTGTTTTGTCTGACTGCATTAACGTTTCACCAGCAAAGCACACACTGAAGCGTTTGAACACAGGTCACAGAGATAGATTGTTGTTATTGGGGCTGACATTATACCACCATGGAGATGTATTTGCGATAATCTGGGCATTTGTTTCTGTCTGGGAAAATACTTCTTGTGTAACACAGAAGCTTCTATCATTCTAAAGCCCAGTTCTGTCTAGCTCCATTCCAGTTAACAAGTGCACTCTTGTACATGTTTAGGCAGAAAAAAGCCCTACAACATCCAGTCTTCCCTCATGCACACAGTGTGGCTAGGGAATGATGGGTATCGTAGGACTCTTTTCTATCTAACCATGCGTAAGATTGCATTCAGTAATACTAGTTGGAAGTGAAAGGCAGAATAAAAAACTGGACCTTGCTCTTAAGTTCTTTCTCCCATCCCAAGTACAGCTCAGGGGCATTCCAGGTGGGGAGCAGAAGTACTCTCTGGCCTAGTTCCTCTTAGAGCTATCCTTACAATTAAGTAGAGCAGCCTTTCCCAACCTGGTGCCCATCAGATGTTTTGCACTTCCAACTCCCACTGCCCTGGCAAGCATGGCCACTGGTCAGGAATCCTGGATGCTGAGAAGTGGGCTGAGCCCCTCCCCCACCGTTCCCATCTTCCACTTCTGGGAGAGGGAGAGACAGCCTGAGTAGTTCATCAGTCATTGCGTGTGTTGTCCTGCTGTGGTACACATTTGCACCTTTTGTGCTGCTCTGCAACAGGGGTCGGGTGGAATAGTGAATGAACGACACTGGAGTGTTGAGAAGACATAGCTATGGCCTGCCCTGTACCCTCCAAGCTAGGGCAGTTGTCCTAGGGTTTAGGCAAGGATGCTCTCCTATCTCTAGTGTTGAAGCACCTGCTGTTCTTGAGACAAAATTGCATGCAATCTGAATCATGAGATTTGCAACTACTGTACTTTATTTTTTCAAACTAAGTGCAGGGTTGGGTAGGTAACTGCAGCAGGCAGGGAGGCAAAGTTTAAGTCTTAACTATGTAGCCATAATTCCAGTAAAAATTCTCCTCATTTGGCAGCCTTAGGGTGCCAAAAGTTTTCATCTAAAGCTAATTTCTGTGCAGGGGAGATCTGTGTTGGGATCATGGCCATAGAAGGAAAGGTTAAAGGTTAAATTCCCATCCTTGCACATTGTTGTCCAAAGTCCTCAGTTATGCCTACTATTACATTTTTAACAATCCCAATTTGCTTGCTAACTATATAGATTTATCTTGGCTTCTGTATGTGGAAGGGTGGAGACATAATTTCCTTTACCTTGAACAGCAAAATATCTTGGGCTGGCCCAGATGCCAGTAAAATCAGCAAGTCTGTTCTTGTTGAAAAGGTCTGTGAACAATATACTGGCTCACATTTTATGTTTGTAAACAATGGTAAGAATGAGGAAATTAAAGGGAGAAGTGCCGCAAATAATTTTTCAGTAAAACTGAATCATGTGCAGCAATTGATCAATCATTCTTGACCTTCAAGCCATAATTCAGGATATATGCTTCACAGGATATTGCTTGATCTGGTAACCAGTTTTTTCTTTTCCCCCTTTTAAACCGTATTTCTATGGTTTCTATTCCTATTTCTATTGTTTCTTTTTCTCAGAGCTATGGTAACTTCTTAAATCCATTGCTTTCAGTGTTAATTCAGATGGTAAGTATTTCAGAGGTTTTGTGATCTTTTCTAAATTGTATTTTATTATATGGAACCTGTAACTGAGAGTTTGCAAAGTTAAACTGGGACGTACTAACCCTTGCTTTCATCCAGGTGGAAAAAGAAGATAACACATGTTAGATTCTGGCACTGGTCTACTAATAAGTTATTGTGTGCACAGTGGGGCAAAGTCCATGGGTTCATAGTTGTGATTGTGAGGAGGTTCTCTACAAACTAAATCATTAAAAAATATGTAAACCAGTCTGAGTGATGGTTTTGGAAAATAGATCTACAACAGTAAAGTTCAAGAGTTCCTTTTTCTGCCAGGGGTACAGCACTTGAGCATCCAATCATCTCATGTGCATCCATAAATGCACATAGTCAGAGATATTCTAGGGGAAAACAACAGTGAATCACTTTTTATTTAGTCATAATTTAATACCCCAGTGCCCATTTGTTACAAATAATGGATGAGCCAGATGGAAATCACAAGTTGTCCTACAATGGAAGTTTTCTAACATGTATAAAGCACTGATTTAGTGCTACCCTTGTTAGTAGGGTGCACTGAAACCCAAAGCGGGTATAAATTCGTAAGATGCGAGTTCCACTGGAGTACTTGCTCTCCAACACACGGATAGCTCCGTGTCGGTTCATGCATGCGGATGCGATTAGCCTGTCTGGATGTGAGAGAACTGACGCCACTCCAAACAATTCGTGTTCGAGGGAACGCGAAGTGGCATGACAGCCTCGCCCGTGACGGTTCACACAACGCCGAGTCATGAAGTGGAAACGAGAGGCCACACTTTCCACTGTATGTCAGCCCCTCCTCAGGCCTTTTAGGACGTTAAGCGGAGTTGGAATACTTTCCGAAGGGGCAAAGAAAATAAACACATGCAAGTGAGTACGACTGTGGTGCACAGCAACGGCGAGACGCCTTTCGCACTTCCCAGCAGGGTCGGCCTGGCGACGGCGGCCAGCACGGAAACAAGCGCAGCAGCCGCCCCTGCACTGCAGCTGTTTTTTCCGCACAGGGCCAGCGAGCGGACCGAGCTCCCCCGGTGCTGCGCCACATCCAGGCGCCGTGTGCTTGCTCTTGCACGGCTGAGGGGAGCGGCGGGAGGGTGCCAGAGACGGGATCCTGCCTTTCTCCGTCCCCGCGCCTCGCCTAGAGCGCCTGCAGCCACCCTCCATGCCCGCGCTTCCCCTCCGAGGCTTTGCTTGCCGCCGCGGTCAAGCGACTTGGCCAGCCTGTTGAAACTTCTATTTTTGCAGCGCTCTCTGCCCCCACCCGGAGCGCTTCCGAGTCCCTTCCCGCGCCGGAGGAGCGCGTCATGGCCCCTCCGGGCCCGTCCCCCGCGGCTCGGCTCTGCCCTGCCCTTGTGCCTCCTCCCCTTCGAGAGACGCGGAAGCCGGCAGCAGCGAAGGCGGGGGCTCGCGCATGTGCCGGCTGGTTGCTATTGGTACGCGGGGTTTGGCGCGGGCGGCTTTCTCCGCCGTCCGCCTTCCTCCCTCGGCTGCGCCGCCAGGGACAGAGGCAGGACGGGCGGGAAGGGCTCCGGCGGTGCGAGCAGAGCGGCGTCCCAGCGGCTCCCCCAACGACGAAGCCGCCTCACTTTCGCCGCCTCCCCTGATTTTGACAGTGCCCTGCGGGCACCCGCTGAGGCGGTCACGTACCAAACGAAGCAACAAGAGGGCGGCACATCCGTCAGTTTTGTCACGCTGCTGCTAACTTCGCCGTCGCCGCTGCCGCCACTTCTTGCGGAGGCTTCACCAGCGAATATTCTCATGGAAGAGGGCGGAGGGCCTGAGCTCGCCTTTCTGCTCTCTCCCTCTCTCCCTCCGTCTCATCTACCCAGGAAAATGACATCTCTCTCTCTCTCTCATCTGTGATAGAAAAACCCCCACTTCCTTTCGAGGAGCGCTGCTGCGAACATCCTGTGTTGTGGGGTAAGAGCTTTTGCCCACTCGCCGTCTTCTTAACTTATTTGGAGCTCGGTTGCTACATGTGCAGCTGCGTAAGACAAGCCTGGAAGGTCTAGCTGTAAGCACGGCTGCCGTGGATTTAGTGGGACGGCGAGGTTGCACGTTGCACTCAGTGGGACGGCGAGGTTGCACGTTGCACTCAGTGGGACGGCGAGATTGCACGTTGCACTCAATTTAGTGGGACGGCGAGGTTGAGTGCTGCGCTCAGAGAATAACATGCAGTGAAGCATTAAGATTCTGGTCGTCCTCTTGTTGTTATATGTCACCAGCCATGTAAGTGAGACTTCATAACACAACAGGTTCTTGCGCCCCTGAGAATAATGGGGGAGAAAACGGGGGACCGGACGAAAGGTTGCTGGTGAAAATCTTAAAAGAGAATATGGTGAGATACAGTTGCACATGTGCTGAACATGTTTTTGGAAATAAGCATTTGGGGTTTCACTGGCATGTAAAATTAGCATAATATTGTAGGATTGGGCCAGATATTGACAGGGAGTGAAGAAAGGGATTGACTGACCCAGGTTTCCCCTTTGTGGGATGGTTGGGAGGAAGCTGCAGTTGCCAGATGGATATATTTTAAAAACTGTTTCCTGGTCCTGGCGATTATATATTCATACACTTTTTGTACAATACAAATGAAGTTAAATGGTTGGTGTATATAGGGTGGCTATAATAAAATAATGCTTATGCATGTATCCATTATGGGTATATGCTAGTGCATTTTTGTACAGGCTAATTTCTTTCCCTATCATCTTATCTAAATTTGTGTTTATCCATTTAGTATGGGCAGCTGGCTATTGGCATCTAACTGGATTTTACTAAAATCACACAGACTTTTGGTTACAAAGATGTTGGATAATTTTCCTAATGAATATACCTTTTGTCACTTTTTTCCATGAACTTCCAAGCTACTTTGCCTTTAAAGAAGAATGGCACCAAAATAATAATGACACCAATAAAGAAATGGCACCAAAACTACTTTAAACTAACTTTCATTACACAACTAATTAACATAATATGCTAGGTGGAACCTTTGGAAAAGGAGTTGGGTTTTTGTTATTTTTTTGAATGTAGATACCACACACACATCAAGTTAAATGGAAATTGACTTAATTTACCCCTTTTCTTGGAGGCAGATGCAGATTTACTTGGCAGTTAAACTATTTGTTGAGATTCAAAAGCTGCTTCAAACTCACTTTGTAGTTGTACCTGTGCCAACAACAAACTGTAGAACTGAAGTTACTAAATTTGCTCATAACACAGAGCATCTGCATCTTGTTTATATCTACTGTTCTTTTCTTTTCTGGGATCAGGTCGCTCTGCCATTCAGCACTGCAGAGCTCAGGATAAAATTTCAGCCTGGGACTATGCTGCAGTTTTGAAGTCCCAATGATGATATAAATTCGCCTGTGCTGGATGATGATGAAAGCTTAAAGAATCCAGAAATAAACATGTGATTTGTGCTGTGTATGTGAGTATGCAGGGGTTTTTTTTTTACTTGCATTATTATAATCATTTGTTGCTTCTCCCCAACCTGCTTAAAAATAAAAATGGTAACCATTGTCATCTGTATAAGGCCATTGTTCCTGATGGTGCATTATCCAAAATGTGTCATATTGCACAGATTGCAACTTTTTTCTTAGTTTGCTTACACTTCACTTCCCAGTTGTGTTTGGAGCATTATGGGTAAAAATAGTGTGTCAGTAGCAATTATTTCATTCTTACTTTGTGATAATCACACATATTGCACCAAAACTCTATTCTGTGCTCCATGCAATGCAAAATATGCCATGCAAAATAATTTAATGCATAGCACAACATATATTCATTACGAGACTAAACCTTTCAAGGAGTTTGCAAGTATTTAGGCAATGACGGGGCCAAGGAAATAAGTGGGGAGGGGCGTAAATGGTTATAAGGCGAATATTTTGGGGGTAATAATAGCCATTAATGAAGGAATAAGAGCTGTTCAAAGTAGTTGGAAATTGTCTATTGATCAGTAGGTGTGATAACAAAACAATTGGTACTGAACCAGTAAAAGAGGGGTGGGCAACTCATGGCCTTCTAGATCAGGTATCTACAGTGTGACACCCACAACTGCCATAATGTTCACAGGGACTTTTAGCGGTGTCCACAAAGTTCTCCATGCCCCTATGAAAAGTTTTAAGAAAAATCTTGAGAAGCGTTAGAACAGTTTGCTTTCCTTCCTTCCTTCCTTCCTTCCTTCCTTCCTTCCTTCCTTCCCTTTGGGGCCTCTAGACTTGTCCTTTCTCTCCCATCTACCTTAGCATCTTCCTCTTACTACCAGCCTATTGCATTGCTATTTCTTCCCTGCTCCCACTTTTGACTACCTAGGCTCACATGGCAGCCTTTACTTCCTAGCTGCATATACAGTGGGAGGCATTTTTGAGTGGTGTCCACAGAATTTTACCAAACTCCCAAATGTGCCCCAAAGTTTTTGGGACACCTGCACTAGATATTTTGGCCCACATCTTGCCATATTCTCGTATCATTGGCTGTATCAGAACTGATAGAAGCTGTGGGACAAAACATATGTAGGTCACAGGTTGTGGCCTTTTTTGTGATAAAAATAGATGCTTGAAGTTCCTTCCGTAACCACAAGGGCTTGTATAATTTTTTTTTTTTAAAACTAGATTGATAGGATTAACAGTCACCAGATATGATTGTTACATTGCATTGATATCCTGCCTTTTTCCCTCTTGTGAGGGACCCAAGGTGCTTACATAGTCCTCCTCCACTCCATTTTATCTTCCCAAGAGTAACCCTTTGGGGTGCATTGAGCCAAGCACAAGTGTAGCCCAAAGTCGTCCGATGAGCTTCATAGCTAACTGGGGTCCAAAACCCAGATCTCCCAGATCCCTAGTCCAACTCTCTAACCACCACAGCAGCTTTTATTATTCCCTGGTGAATTTGTGGGGTTTTGGCAATTTAAATGGTTCCATGGGGAGCTTGAAAGCTACATTGGTTAGTCAGCCTTTTGGAGGGTTACTTAACAGTTATTTAACTTCAACTGCAGATTATTTTCCTAGATCAAGGAATACACCAATGCCTGAAGAAAGGAAAAGTGTGGAAACAAAAGAAATGTTTGTATAATTATTGGATTTTTGGTGCAACTCTGTTGTATCACTTCCAGAGTAAATAACTGTGTAACCCACGGCTGAAGAATATGTGGCCAACTCTTATCATTCCTCACCATTGGCTGTGTGGGCTCTGACTGATGGTTGTCTTCAAAAGATCTGGAGGGCCATATTTTGCCCACCGGAGAAGTGAGCTATGTCGTGGCCAGGCTGAGGCTGGATTAGGCATTTGCAGCTCTCTGAATCTTCTCCCTCAAACTCATCTACTCACTTTACACAAATGTTAGGGTTAATCTAGACCTGGTAAGGTCACTAAATCCGTGATTCTAGTTTATCAACCCAAGATCCAGCATGGACAAGCCAGTTGCCCTGAAATATTTATTTATTTATTCAGGGGACTTCTATGCTGCCCCATTCACCAAAGCCTCGGGGCGGCTCACAAACCATAAATAAATAGAATTCAATAAAACAATATAAATTAACAATATAAATTAAGTCACCCTGGCCAAAGAATGAAATGAATAAATAATATTAACAATTAAAATAACATTTGAATAAAAAGGTCTTAGCCTGGCGCCGAAAAACAAATAACGACGGTGCCAGGCAGACCTCTCTGGGGAGTGCATTCCATAGGTTGGGCGCCACCGCAGAGAAAGCCCTCCTCCAAGTACTTGCCCTCCTAATTCCTTCACGGAGGGTTCCCGGAGAAGGGCCTCTCCCGCTGATCTCAAGGGGCAGGCAGGCGGGCGGGCATATATGGACATAAGCGCTCCTTCAGGTAACCAGGACCCAAGCCGTTAAGGGCTTTATAGGTCATCACCAACACCTTGAATTGGGCCCGGGCTTCAATGGGAAGCCAGTGAAGCTGACGGAGGACTGAAGTCATGTGAACATAACGTCCAGTCCCTGTCAGCAGCCTGGCAGCTCTGTTTAGAGAAATAGAGCCAAGATACCCTTTCATTCCACAAGAACATCATTCCCATTTATCAAGTGCAAATGTGTGAATTCATATATAGGAGGATGTTTGCCTGCACTGCTGGGGTTCCCAATATGATGCTCACACCATATGTCAAGGGTGGTATGTTTGCAAACACCACCCTTGACATCTACCAAGATCCATATCCTCTCAATATATAAAAATTTAATATTTAATGTATTTTTAATTGGAAGACAATGAGTAGTACCAGCCTTCAGCACTATCTGTGTTTCCAAGAATACTGTGGAGCCCACCTGTATTTTTAGAAAGCAGATTAGAAAATTAAAATGGCAGGCAGTTTGGTTTGTAAGTTGGGGTGATGTTCATACAGTGTTGTATCTTTTCTGTTGGCATATGTGTGTATGCATCTGTGTGCTTTGTATGTGTGCATGTGCTTTTCTGAGCATCACCTGTTTGCTTTCTGTGAAATTGGTATTTTGTTATGTTTTGCGGGGGAAAATAATGTGATTTGGCATTTGGATCTCAGACCCTACCTTGAATCTCAGCCTCCTCTATCTTTTACTGAGTTGTTTAGCCAAGCTAATTCTGTCTGAATTTCATCAGTTTGTGCTCTATGAATGGGTTGTTGGAGCAGTAACCTGTGGAGAGGTTTCATGTTGTTTTGGAGCTCGGGCCCTATCTCTGTTTTACACTTAAGTTCTTGGACGAGCTACTTTTCTTACAGGCTTACCAATCTGCATTTGGGGAAATGGGTTATTTGCCATGGGTTATTTGTCATGGGCACCATTTTGTGAATGGGAAAGCTCCCAGTGGCAGCTTCTTTGTGAGAATGAATCATCCCACAGCACTGTTGCGAAATACTAGATGCTATCACTGGCCCAAAATATTGGGGACCCCTACTGTATTGGTCTCATGTTTCTTGCAATTCTATTGAACTACTTCTCATTTTCTGATAAACTCAGTCATGTATTGCTTCATCGCACACAAAACGAGTAAGGCATTCAATCTAGTATGTTCCACATGCAGTGGGGATGGCAGAAAAGGTTACTTGGAACTGGCCCTTTCATCTCCAGAGAGATCATTCTGTTCTTTTCAAGCCAAATTAGAGCATTGGCACATATCTAGGCAATGCAAAGCCAATGATGCACGTAGACCACTATTTTTAATCTAGCTTGGTTTTATAGTACTTGTTTGTGATCTAATGAAAGTCTATGCACTTTGAAAATATTTACCTTCACTTAATACACACAGTAGTTCATGAGCACATTTGATACTGTTGAGAGCAACTGTTAATGTTTATGGCCATTTGAACTCTGAGTGATACAAGAGTGCCTTTTTATTTCACATAGTAATGTTCCTTTCAATCTCTGAGCTTAGCCATAGTCACAAATCCCACCATCTGTACTGTAGTGGAGTTCCTAAGTAATAGCTCAGAAGTATTAGCTTCTTTCCTAAATACATGCAGTGCAGAAGCAATCTCTTGAAACTAGGCTAAAATAGGACACTATTTTCACAAATTTTCATGCAAAAGGATGGATCCTTTATTTTAAAAGGAATATTAATATTTAAATATGTTGCATGAAATAAGAGTTCAAATGTTGGTACAATTCAGACAGGACATGAGCACTTTTTCTTACCCCAAAAGACATCTGAATCTGGATCTTGTTACCTCAGTGGAAAGAAAGGTGAAATGTGGTAGATGGATAGGCCAACTTGGAAAAGTTTACATGCATTTATATCCTTTAAAAATATGGAACGTGGACTCTAGCTCACAGTAATCCTTGCAATCCAAGGAACAGATCAGAACCAATGCTGATTCATGTAGGAGGTCTTAATAATGGTTGCAGTTAGGAGACTCCCAGTGGTACCAGTATATGACCTAGTTGGAATACCTTGAGTTATAACCGAGTAATGAAGCATCTAAGATGGGTCGGCAACCCGTGGCTTCGGAGCCGCATGTGGCTCTTGAATCCTCCTGCTGCAGCTCCGTTGCTCAAAACACGCACCAGCACAGCCGCCAATCTGCGACCGAGGCTCCAAGTTACAAAATACCAGTAGGTGATGATGAGGCATCCACTCAGGAAGGCTGCACTAGCAGGTTAAGTAAATTACTACATTCCTCTGCTACTGTGCAGGGAAAGAGTGGAACAAGCTTCCTGCAGGCTCTCATGTTACTCAAACCCTGCTGAAAAGATTCTCTTTGCCTAAATGTAATCTCCGTCATCTGAATGTTAAAAGCTGTGCTTGGGACTTGTCACAATTCATATCACTTGACTGTTTATCTGCTAATCAGTCACTAAACACACCTATAGCTGTGACTCCCCCCCACCCCACCATAGGCCAACCATGGATAAATCGAAGAAAAGTTTCTGAAGAAAACCAAATGTTTAATGATAAGTGGGTAGATTCATTTCCTTTACTGCTGACGAACTTATG